GGCACCCAATTGTCGAGGGGGGAAAGGGGGGGGGGTTTTTTTTTTTTCTTTTCCTTCCCAATGCGTTCCAGGACCATGTCTGCGCAACAGTGGATTTGCCAAGGCCTAGCTCTTCTGCTATCTCTCGAACTGTTTGGGATGGGTCAGCCTCCGAAATCCCCCTAAAATCCTCGTCAGATATTGCTTTAGGTCGACCGCTATGAGGTTCATCTTCAAGGCTGAAATCTCCAGAACGAAATTTGTTGAGCCATTGCCGCACAGTGCTTTTCTCTAGCACTATTGGGCCCCCACACCTGGTTAATTTGTTGAGCTGTTTCGATTGCGGATTGCCCCAATTTATAGTCGAAGAAAAAAATCGTCCGAAGTGCTCTTTTCACATGCTTGAAAAAAATCTTGAAAAAATTGAGGGTTTATCAAGCCAATGCGATGAAATCGGGCAATTATACCATCAGGATAGCGCACGGAAATTCTCCAAGGGATGTGCTACTGAGAAAGAAGGCAGATAAATGAAGAACTTTTAATCAGCCAGTGGAATGTACAAAGAATAGGTGCACAAAACGCTGAGAACTTTCCCGGACAACCTAATATATTTCTCTTGATATTTTTTGATTTGATTATTGCATATCTGTAGAGTTAATAAATCTCCTCTATGACCTCTACCGACCCTTTATTATGCCAGGACCGACCCGTTAATGACTGATCAGTAAGCTCTCAAATGAACTTAAAGGGGTAATTTGCTCCAATGTTGTGCTTGTTTTGTTCAATTTGCGCAGCACCTGCCATGTACGAAAAATGTGCAATGAAACAAAGAGATGTTGCAGTAAATCCATCAGTTATGTTCCGTATTTGTACATATGCAAATCAATAATTTTATAGATAGGTATAGCTGATATGTGCACACAAAGTCGAGTGTGAGAGAGGATACACATTTCGTTCTTCTACAGTGCTCATCTTTTACTGTTCGTATTTCGCAAACTGACAAGATATGCCTCGGATACGTATTGAAGTTCCAGAGGGGGCTTTCTGAACTAGCTCATCGTATTTAGGTCATAGAAGTTCTGGGCATCACTGCAGGGAGGTGGAGTGATTCAAAAAGTTGGTGCATGTGTTCTGCAGGCAAAGGCTTGGGGGCACGCATACGGCGTACATCTGCATGGTTGAAATTCCCATCTCTGTCATGCCGTGCCTGACTTCAGACTGTCCCACGAGGCATCGTGACTGATCCAACTTGTGCTCGAGAAACGCGTGATAGAGCCTCTTCCTTTCTAGAACCTTCGATTTGACGTTCCGGTCTGTTCAGAGAAACAACCTCTTCGTCGATTCCTCGCGCAGTCCACGCTTGCATTGCTGCCGAGTTCGGAGCGGGCGATGATAGGAAGGGCTACAAAACAATTAAAAATTGATTAGCAATATGCATCTAATTGTTAGCATGAACTCGTAGTACGTAGATGACTGAATAATACATCTCAAACAGATTCGTGCGTATTGTCTTCTTCAAATCCCAAACATGGACAAAAATCACCTGAAATCAGAAATTACACTTCTTCGCCATCTCTGCGTAGAAGCGTAATGCACGGCGCACACTCGGACCAAATCGATCTATAATCCCAAGCTCTTCTACTCATTTGCGCTGGGATATGTGTTTTGAAAGCATATTGGAATTCTTGAATGAGTACCCTCATGATGGCAAGAAAGGAATCCAACTTTTGAGTGGCTCAGAGGGTAGCTTTTGGTAACCAGCTAAAATATCCTCTTGCATCTAGCGGGCGCCGTCCTTCAGTAAATTGCCAAAGCTTGTTTGGCCAGATAAAAATTAGCGCGTCGCTCGCAAGACGGTTTTTTTCTGCATGGGAAAGATTGCGTATCAAATCGAGCTGCATCTTCGTGCAAAGCCTAAAATTCCTTGCGCAGCCCTATACCCCTAGTTTGATCCGATAACTCATCCAAATATTTACGAACGGGGAATTTATTCTAGGTCGCAACTTTAGCTTACGATAACATAACATGCTAGGAACATTGCCGCCTGCCATACTGCTTACCATTCCTTAGAAGCTCCGCACCTGAAAGAGTAATAACCTCTCGAAAAGACCCCAGGACGGTAGCTGGGCTAACAACTGCGCTCCAATGACGTTTTTCCAGTGAAGCGGTCGCAACGTGTTGCCACCGCCGTGACGATCGATTACTGATTTAGCTCGACAAAAGGATTGCTAAGAAGTCTTTATTCGGCTGACGCCGAAACGTCGCCGCCAAAAAAATAAATCAATCTCCTAATAGTTCTTAGAAATTTGCCCAGATTGGTCGATATACTGCCGCCTGATAATTCATTTATTTATTTACTTTAACATTTTCTTTGTGTTTTTTTTTGTGTTCTGCATGTTTTCGCGATTAGGGGACTACTTCTAACAAAAGAGTAGCGCCGGTGTTTGATTTTCCCGTCACCATCCACTGATTGCCCGTCTGGAGCCTGACACTCTGACTTCGAAATTTTTTTTTCACTAAATTTTGCTTGAAAATTATCACCATTGTTGCTGTTTTAATTAATGGTTCTTGTTATAAGTTGCATCTCGCCGAACCACGCCTTTTATTTTTGTACCCTAAATAATAATAAAATAGTTAGCAAAATGGGGCTGTTTTCAGCCTCATATTGTACGAGGCTGAAGAAAAGCCTCGAATTTTCTACAATTTCGGAGCAAAGTCCGCAATGGCAGAGATCCCCGCGTTCCAAATTGCGGCATGTCATTTATGAACCAACATAGGCTGTCACTCTTAGAGCGGAGGGGGAGGGATGGCTAACCGGACCCCCCTCCGCAGCGCGAGGGGTGTACTCACACCGCCATTTCGTACATCCCATGCTGTGTGCCTATATACGTACATCCACAAGTTCTAAACTGGTATTGCAATTTAAACGCCTGTGTTAGCAAAAGGCGTCTGCCCCAAAAGGTCAAGAGGTCTTATTGGTACCGACCGACACTTCACTGCCATTATCTAAAAAGCTCAACAAAACGAAAAAGAATAAAAAAATAGAGTGTAATGTTTCGTGTAGAAAGAAACTATCCTCATATAAGCCTAGTACACATTGGGAAGACTTTGGTTTTACCAGAAGCTTTCGTAAGAAAAATCGCTACCACTTATGGATCAATCCAACAGTTGTTCTGCTGGCCGCGCAACCTTGGCGCGACCGGTACAGCCTTATGTTAGACTCTTTTCACCCGCTACCAATCTAGTCGTTAATCAGGTCCGCCGCTCTCCTCCTGACAACACTCCCACCACTGCGCTGATTTTCTTCCGCTGAAGCGATCACTGTTCCATCACATTGGTAAAGGCGCCAAGCGGGGCATATGGCCGCGCCCCTGCTCTACGCGCCTCCGACGGGGGTTGCGATGTTAGCTTGGATATCTGCGGTTGGCCATGAGTAATGGCCGCTTTTTTCCCCACTCGAAAGTATCGCACAATATCGGCGCTTGGAAAAAGAGAAGTGCTCGTCATCGAGTGAGTTCATACCGTTTGGTTAGCAGATATGGCACTTGCCCTACACGCATAGTTCTTCTTAGTTCGTTACTGCTTTATTAACTGCTATTATCAAGCCAAGTAACAGCTATAAAACCTGCTAAAAAGCCTGCAGCTGTGCCGCCCTTCACATTGCTGATATCGGCTAACCGGCTCATCACGTTGAACGTGAGAGGGCTCGAAGGCAATGGCACAAATAGCCATTAATAGCCATTGAGCTGAGTGGTCAAAAGTGGCCCCGGTAGCGTAATAGGGAACGCAACTGCCCGGTAAGCAGAAGATGCGGGTTCGAATCCCGTCCGTGGTCCGACTTTTGCCCACAACTCAGCATTCTTGTGGTAGTCCTCACTAGTTTTTCTATAGGTACCCTTCCCACTAATATTTAAGCGCTCAAACTGGGATGACAGGTCGACAATTAAGCATTTTTGGCAGCCTCCCTTTTTCACCTCCTATAAAAATGCTGAGACCGCCACTAGCCAGCTGCCCCCTAAAGTATTCGGTTATCCCAGTTCCTCAAAAGTGGCGGGGGGGGGCCGTGACATATAGCAGCGAATGGCAGAAAAGCCAACAGGACGGATAGCCGGAATCCCGGGCTCCACTATACCATTTGGAGGGTAGCTACCTTTAGGCTGTGCTATACGTGAAATTTTGGCGGCCGAATCCTTACCCACAGAGGATGATTTCGGAGAAACGCTAAGAAACGAAAAATCAGCGCCCGATTTTTGAATCAGACGTCATAAGAGGGAAGCGCGCTGCACAAATTCGAAATGCGCGGTACCAGTAGTTGTGTGTAGGGGTGTTTTCCAAATACATGGTTTGGTTTAGGAGCCCGAAGAAGGGAGAAAGGAAAAAGTTTGTTGTCATAAGTGGTCCCATGATGTTCATTCTGCACAAGAAAAAAAGACCGGGGTATGCAAGTCCACCCAGCACCGCGAATATCCTATCCAGAGCGCTCGACCCTTCTGTCCGAGCCTTTCTCCGACGGAGGTCTGACATTTCACGCTGCCAACTGCTGCCCGATGTTTATGTCCGATAAACTGAGGAATGGTCAAGAACTCCTCTTGGGACTTTATCGTGCCAACTGCCTTTGAGGGAGGCTATTCTTGGTAGTGCACCTCGTTGTTGGGGATGCACAGCGAGGAAGGGGATTGTAGTTGCAATGAGAAGTTTTCCCGCTTCACATGCGCTATAATATCCCGCCCTCCCCCTCCAGTGCAAAGCAGTTTTCCAGCGAAAAGTGGAGGAGTTTAGAAAAAAAACTCCGGGAAAGTCATAGGAAGCGGTGGTTGGCTTGGGGCATGAAGAAGGGCTTCATACCAGTGGGAGAACGTAGAGGTAGTGGTAGTAGAGAGGGTTGTATTCTGTGAAAATGTGCCCCAACGACAGGATGAACCCCGACTACCGCGAACGAGAATCGAGAACGTAGTGCCCGTAGTAGACAAGTATGGCCGTTGCGAGGTATCTCTCAAATACTGTAGCGCTGAACACTTGCTTCATAACTTACCAACGTTGAGCGCTCCCAAAGTAGGTGTACAAATTCCATCTTCGTACACTTTTATCAAGAAAGTTATCGCCGTAGCTCCTTTACACACAGCCCCATCATGCTCTTCAGAATCATCTGGTAACGAACCGCAAGTGACAGGAGTATAAGGACGATATAACTTCGACGCTAAATTCTCCTGTATGATCGAGGAAAGAGGCTCGGTACTATAAGATGGCCAATTATTTATAAAGTGTTCACCTCCTTTTCTGATTCTGAAAGATACATGTCTCCCTACAGCCACAGGAAAGTATAATCCGTCCGGTAAACGTAGATTGAAAAGGAGGGTGTCGTGAGATATCTGACGTTTCTCTTCGACAACACATTCGTGATAAGCAAGAACTGAAACAATGAACTTGGTAAAAGTAAAAATAAAAGTTTATTTCTACCAAAAACAAAAAAGCTTCGGGTCAAGAGACTCGACGGTGGGGTGCTATTGAATGCTGCAGGAGCTTGCACGTGGTGCCGTAAGATTTCCTTACTACACCAAGTGTGAGCCTGTGAGAGAGGGTAAGAGGATCATACCGCGGTGAGAGAAGCAGACAAGTAGAAAAGGAGGTGCTGTCGCATGCCTCAGGGCACCATCGCTTTGTGTGAATTGGCATCGTTAGTACTACCCCGAAAATTCGGTTCTTCAGTACCTCTTCTACCAAAAACCTACGCTGCCTCCCGACGGCCAAATACGAGCCCGTTGCGTTTTTCACGATACCGATCAGTGTCGTGCTCTGGCCTTAACTCTGTTCACCCTCTCATACTGGAAACCAATCCATAAGCATATCTTAATGAGCTTATATCTGTGACGGTCACATACAGCTCAGAGCGCGTTCATAATTCGCGATCGCGCGATCCAATCGCAAGATCATGGAGATGAACGCGCTCTCAGAAGCCCTTAGCATGAGGTACTCGAATAATCGACCGGTTGAAACGTACCAAAGCAATACATCTGCTCCCCTTGAATCAGGGTACAGCATGGTGGAATGGGTGGAATAGTAGTGTAGGTACGACCTGAGAGAGGGTGTCAGTCAGGGCACGCCATCGCGTTGTGATCACTTCCTGAAAAATACGACCCCCTCCCCTAATTCTATCCTCAAATACGACCCCCCTCCCCATGCTACCTACCACTTTTTTTCCATTTTTTCCCGAAAAATTTCCAGTTTTTCAGCCAAGAATCGAGCAGCGGGGGGGGATATATACCCACCGTGAAACAGGAAAATTTCTCAGATTTCTCCTAACCTACCAGTTTTTCGAAATTTCCTTCTGGTTTTTCCCCAAAATTTTGCTGTCGAGGGGGGAGGAGGTCGTCAGGATTTAACTATCATTTTCAACTATCGGAAATAGTAGTATAAATCTTTGACAGTCCCTGTCTCAACAAATATGTCAACAAATACAACCCCCACTCCCTCGTGGTCAAATACGACCCCCTTTGTGATCATCACACCGATGGCGTGCCCTGGTGTCAGTACGCTCCCACCTAAATGAGGGTCTCGGTACGACCACCCCGATTCCAAAACAGCTACCTACCATTTTTACATTTCCCAGATTTTCATCCAAAAATTTTCCGTAGAAAGCGGTTGGGGGGAAGAAGGCATATACTCAATGCAAAACGAGAAAATTTCTTAGGCTTTCCATGACTTCCTACCACTTTTTCGGGAATTTACCGAGAAGTTCCTTACTTTTCGTTCCAGATTTGCCGTCGCAGCGGGGGGCGGGGGGGTATATAATAGTACACATGGAACATGCAAAATCGCGCAAAAAGTCAACAACTGGGAAAAAATTTTCCCAATGCAGCAAATTTCTCTTTAGCTCACATACGACCCCCTCTCTCTCCCAACGACATAATACGACACCCCTCCCCATCGGAGAAGTACGACCCTCTATGTGTTTCACACAACGATGCTGCACTCTGTCTTGAATACAGTCCTTTCCTATTTAATACAATGACGAAGTGTTTGCCGCTGACCAATGCGTTTTTGAGATGCGACACGCATTCGACTTCTAGTCAGAATCGTAGTGGCTTATTGAACGCGATGTGGTCTATACAGTGACTTGCAGGGCCAGCTGTTGTATAAGTCAGTGTTCTTATCCTCTCAGATGATTCTATCTGGTAGCAGTTCACCGCCTCCGGAGGGCACAAGGTTTGGGTTGACCTGGGCGGGAACCGCCGAGATTTGACTTCTGAGCAGCGCGCGTTGTAAGCCTGCCACTCGTCACTACACTACCTGAGCTTCTTATAATTGTAATGTAATGTAATACTGAAACCGTTTCAGCACTCTTACAAGTACCAGAACTTTATCACGCTGATGAGATTAGCGAAAAACTAGTTTCCCAGAAGCCGGATAAGTTCCAAGTTGGCACGTTGACCGGATAGATGCATGAGAGTCAACGTGTAGGGATACAACACAGTAAGCAAAGGAAAGTGGAACTGTTTCAAGAAAAAGAAAAAAGAGAAACAAGGTTCTTACGAGGTGACTGCCTGATAGATCGATTCGCTGATGCGAGAGCCACAGTAACGTCTAATGATTCGAAAGTGATCAGAATAGTTCCATCTCTCACGAGTACTTCATATACGCAGCTTTCATCGTTGAGAGCAACATCATCTATAAACGAATACAATTTATAAGAAAACCCATCAGCAAGCAGAAGTAAAATAAGTAAAAAAAAACCTGTAGCGCCAACTTACCCCACTTCACTTCGAATACAGATTGACCTGCAGCCCTTACGACGAGTCGTATACGGCTTTTGCTACGACAGACATCAACAATAACGTTGTATAGGTGGAGGTTAGACGCATGCCATTTGTCGGAACTAACTTTTAACATCCGCCCATCCTTGACAATACTAGAAATCAAAAATAACTAAAACTTCGGAAAGACTGGTCACATGGATTGAACCCTGCTTTCCAGAGTGAGGCTAGCGCAGTAGGACGCACCTTATTCCATATGCTTCTGCCTCGTCTTTTTGCTTTCCCTTCATAATCAAAGCATTCAGCTGCGCTGAAATCGACTGCGGCTGTTCGGTCGTGGGAGGACCTGGCTGCGGTACTGAAATGGTGATAGCTTTGATATATCTGGAGACAGACACACTAGAAAACCTACACTTAGAGAGTTCTCCTGTGAATCGCCCAACAAGGCAGGATTTCAGCATATTCTCATAATTAACCCATGCATGGTACTGATTGAACAGATCGGTGGCATCAGTGCCTGCCGCTCGCATCAACTCTGGCACACCTCCAGGGTGAAATCCCAAGTATGAAGTAACATCGTAGACCTATAAGTTCACATGTAACTCAACTGAGAAAAATTTGGGCGCTGCTTTACTGCCCCAATCTTCCGAAATCAGCGCCACAGACACCAGCGCCAAGATACCCACAATCACTAAACTCGCTGAAACCTTGTCCCCAGGGGTAGTTTTATCTTGAGCCAAGCAGACGTGCTTCACGTTTAGCAGGCCGCACTATCCCCGTAATCCCCGGCAACGAATTTCCAGCCAAATGTGCACATAGAAAGTCAATGAAAAAACCTGTTTATTTCGGAACCTTGGGCAGTAAAGGCTAAACAATGCAATTTTCTCAATAAATCACGAATGACAGCTCTTTGCGGAGGGAAAGCATACCTGCCCGAAGATATGCACCCAGCAGTCATCCTGTTTGTTATGTTTCATTAGCTCTTCATGGTCCACAGACATCCTTGCTTTGGCGAGTATCTGAAACGATAAATCGCGAAAAGTCTATTCCTACTGAAAATGTTTGAGGAAGAACGTAACAGCAACTAAGAAAAGATCACAATGAGTGAAAAGTAGAATACCTTTCCCGAAGCTAGCCGTACCCAGTCCATGAGACCTTTGCCAGGTAGCAACGCCACTTTAACACGGCCATATTCGCTTCTACCAACTGGCGGCTTCTTAAAATTTTGAGCTGAGTAAGGCAAGACAAGGTTACGCTCTGCTTTCTTTGAACTGGAAAGTTATCGAAAAAAAAACTTGGCAAAAGCGCCTGCGTATACGTGAGGTATCAAGTATTGAGCTATACCAATGGCTATAGAAGTAAAAGAAAGTTCCAAGCTGTTATTGTTCGATAACTGCTGTTTAACGCCGAATGTTATCACAAGAATGCTGAGAATCAAACAATAACAGCTTGAAACTTGTAAAAAGCCTTCAGCCTTGCGGTTCACTGCCGATATCGGCTAACCGGCTCATCACGTTGAACGTGTGAGTGCTCGAAGGCAATGGCACAAATAGCCATTGAGCTGAGAGGTCAAAAGTGGCCCCGGTAGCGTAATAGGGAACGCAACTGCCCGGTAAGCAGAAGATGCGGGTTCGAATCCCGTCCGTGGTCCGACTTTTGCCCACAACTCAGCATTCTTGTGATAAAAGAAAGTTCGCTTATTCGTTGAATCTCAAACGTTTTGGAGTTTGGAATATGTTACCCTGGAAACGATCGGAAACGACGCATAAATTAGAAGTGTTGCTGCACTTACACGAATGACGCAGTTAATTCAGATCCGGCAGGCGTTCTTATGGGTCTGACCTAATAGTACAAGACTTAGTTGGGAGGATGAAAACAAGAAGCAGCGGCGACGTTGGTTCGGCGAGGTGCGCGAGGGGAGGGCACTGAACTTTCGCTGCTTCATAGGCTCTTTACGAGCCTAAATCTGATGAGACCTATGAACTCTTGTGAAGATAAAGCAAGCTCGTCGTGCCACTTTGGTAAAGGTATTTGCACGGCATCTCAGTGCTTCGCAAGGGTTGACAGGTGGTCTCTAGAACCTTTACATTTCGCGGTCCATTCAATGGCTCCACACGTTGACGGTAGGAGCAGAAGCAAAGTGCCTCCTCGCCCACCTACCCACCGCAGCCAAACGGCGCCTGAAAACAATATCAATACCAGGCACCCTACACAAGATGCGTACGATATCGTAATTGTGAGCAGCAGACGGATTACGACTCAAGGCTGTTGACTAACGGTAGAAGTAGTACCCTCAGACAA